CGCAGCGGAGAAGTCGCGGAGACGAGCTCTGGGAATCACGCCTTAATTAATAAAATCTCGCCGGCTCACTCAAAATAATCTGCTCGTTTCTTTTTCGCCTCAGCAGCGAATTTTAATCTCCACCAGCGGCAGCAGTCAAGCGGCAAATAGAAGCAAGAAGTGCGACAATTCCCGCCGACGAGCGAAATTAAATTACTAATTAATTGGAAAAAACGTCTTCCGCTGCTCTTCTCTTTTCTTCGCCGTGATTGCATCCGTTGACCTTATTAGCAAAGGGCACAAACCCCTTTTCGATTGGTTATCTTTTTATTGCACCACGATCGAGTGGAAAGCTTATTGGTCTCTGATTGCCAATCGCAGATAATGCAACGACTTCACGGCTCTTGTCGCACTTGTTGCAGAAGTTTTGCCGAGAGTGCACCAGCAAAACTTCAAAAGTCTCTGATGCTTTCTCTAAGTGGGCATTACATTCATTAAATTTAGCACTTCAACTATAAAAGTTTCCGTCTGGCATTGTCTCAACAAGCAATCAGTAATAAAAGCTGTGATTAACGCAATTATTACATCGATTAGATTTTAAATCATCATTTATCTGATTGCAATCAGACATGTTTCATAGAAACTGCGTTGCAATTATTGTTAATTGAAGCTAAGAAATTAAAATGGGTAGCGTAATTTATTTTAATTCAATGGTGCTAAACAAGTCGTTGTCACATTCAGAAAGAATGGCTTCCTATACAAAAAGTGGTATTCTGCAAAAAGCTTAAAAGTGCTGAAATAAAAATAACAAATTCTCTAAAATTTAAATTCAGGCAAGTTTAATTTTTTCTTCACTGCCGTTGGTCTTTCAATAAAAAATATTACAATGAAAAGAAAAAAAAAACATAAAATGATCAATTGCTTCCGCTTGGCACATTAATTTGCAAAATTCCTAAACAAAATGAATCTTTATTTAGAAAATGTTGCACCAGTTTATAGCAAAAGCATTCATCAATTTTCTTACCATTGGCGACCATTTTTAACGAATTTAATTTGTAGTAAAGCATTGCTTGCTAAAATTTCATCTAAAATGTTTACTGAGAAGAATAATTTAACATTTTAAAACAACGTTTCAATTTTTTGAATTTTAGAATAAATTGAAACAAAATTTGAAAGACAATTTTAATAATTATAATTTTTTTATTCTATGATTGTAGAATATTTTGTGAAGATTCTGTGCTGTAGTTAAAATTTCCACTGACACTGATACACACAGACACGGTGGGGGCACTGTTGCATAATGAGCAGGGCAGGATCTCTTTCCAAAACTAAGTTGCCGCTCTGCTCTTTATGGGGTGCTTAAAAGGGCGTAAAATTGAGTAATAATCCTCGGCACTTTCACCTGTACACATGCATCCCCCTTTTGGTCAATCTGCTTTTTTCAGCCGGGAGAGAAAAGGCGCAGCCGGGGGATGAAAAAGCAGCGCATGATACATACATATTTTTCCATTGTGCGCGCCAAAGGATTAGCATTGAAATGGCTTCTGCGATTCATTCATAACGCACGCTGCGCTGAATAAGCTGAAAAGAAAGGCCGAGTGGTGAGATGGATGCGTCGTGTCACAATTCGGACAAACAGCTGCATCGATTCCGACACGACCTGGCCGACTAATTTTCAAAACAGGCCGGCGGCATCAGCAAAAGTGCCTATTCACATCTATTATTTTTTTGTGCCGAGTAATCCGCTCGTGAAATATGATGAACTCATTAAGGGTGCGTCGCGTTGACAGGCTGTGAGAGTGAGAAACGTATTTTTCGCTCTTTAGCGCTTGTCTCCGGCGTTGCCTTTTTTAGATTCTACTTTATGCAAATGAGGATCGTGATTCTTCATTTATATATAACTTGTTTCAGTTGTTGCTTCCTTCCGTTTCACTTCAACTTCCCTCTGTATTTGTCAAGAGAGAAGAAGTTGTAGAAAATAATAAATAATGATGCTAATGATGTTATAACATTGCAAAAATTTGTATGCATAAAACTTTTAATAGAATTATAAGTATACAATGAAAGGTTACATTTAAAATAACATTTTAAACAGAAAAAACCTTTTTTATAATATTTATCACGATTTTAATAATTACTTTGAAGCTGCTTTGATGATAAAATTATTTAATGAGTATTATGAAGATTTTTTATAATTTCAAGTTGTTGTATTCAAATATTGTGTTGTGAAGACAAAATTTTTATTTTTTAATTTAAAATTACCTACATATTGATTTTAATTAGGGCATGCTTAATTATAACTATCATTTATGATTGTAAAATATATCATATTTGTGAAAACTGGGAAATTTCTCAGATTTAATGCAATGCAATTAAAATTTAAAATTATTTAATTTTATCATGCATTGGATTTGTTTTTATTTAATTATATTTTCAGCGTAACCGGTATTTTCAGTATTCTCTATAAATATTAATTTATTTAATTAGGTTGGTTAAACGTTTAAACACAGCTAGCACTTGCAGGGCCTGCAGGGGGTGGTTTTTGGCACAATCAATGCGCAGAATGATTAATTACGTGGACTGGGCTATTTGCAGAGTGGTCGGCCGCCGAGATGTTGCCGAGAAGCAGCGCTTGATTAATTTCTGCTCACTCAAACAGAGAGAGAACAAAACACCGCCGCACCAACGAGATAAAAAAAAGCGACTTCCAAGACAAAGTGTTATTTGAGCAGTTCTTGCTTTTGATTATTGCCGGACAGCCGCAGCGGGCTACAGAGAAATAAGAGAAAGAGCGGCGCGTGACAGCCGCAAACCGACCTTTCCCTTGTTGCCTCACCTCACTTTTTGCCAGTTTGACGCTTGACCGGCCTGCGCCATTATTATTATTTTGTACACCATCTTGGCCTGCTTTTGCTAAGCGCCATTGCGCGACGACCCCATTATTTGTCACCGCAAGTTTTGTCATTCTCAGATTGTTTGCAATCAGCAAAAGCAAACTATATATTACAAGATTAAACGTTGTTTTTACATGTTCTTTACAACATTTTGATACATAATGCGAATCATCTCCATTTATTTTGTAGAAGAATTCTACTATTGAATGTAGATTCATGATTTTTGAATTTAAAAATAGGGTATACTCCTTAATTCCTATGTTGTATTGTAGAAAAAAATCCTGTTTTACACGTCCGCAAGCCTTAATAAATTTTTTTATTGAATTAGCTAATATAACAAAATTAAAAATATTACATATACAAAGTTTAAAAAACTTAAATATGTTATTTAAACTAAATTGAAACATATAATTTTAAACATTTTATTTTATAATAATTTATTTTATTATTTAACTAGATTAATAATTTTGGTTAAATTTGTGCACATAAGTTCCAATTTTACAAAGCATATTTATATTTTTCTTTAATCAAATTTTTATATATATTCTAAGAATGATTGAATTGTAAGTCACAAATTAACTACTGAGAATTATTAGTTCCTGATTTTGGTTTATCAAAAATTGATATCTCACATAGAGCATTATTTATTCAAAAGACTTTGGAAGCACCAATAGCACCATATCATATTTGCCCTCTTCTCTGTGAGCTTCATCTCTCAAATCCTCCATATTCGTCTCGCACGCATAATATCTCAATATCAGACAAAAAACTTTTTCGGCCGATTTCATTTCTAGATTGTCAGCCGCCAGCAGGTATACACTTTTTGCATATAAACCACAGCTCTGCATTACTAGCGAGATTATTGAGCAGCCCCGAGCCAGCCACGTACGCGCCAATATCGGAGGCACATCTCGCAGCAAATTCATCCGAACGAATATATTGCGCGCCGCGAGAATAGACCGAGGAGCACACAGGAGACGCAGATTCAACTCGCAAGCACGCGTTTTTTTTCCGCAATGTCGTTTTAATATGCAACTTTTTTATCCTGCAAAACCGGATCGTCGCCTTCGGGTGCGAATCGCGCATGACATAAAACCACAAATCTGTCAACTTAGCCAAATATGCGCGCATGTCTGCTGAGGGCTACGATCTTTTAGATTTGAAGCGATAGAGGCTGCCTAATCAAAATCGCCTGCAGTGGGCTCAGTATTTTTGGGAAAATGAAATAAAGTTATTTCAATATTGTTTATCTTCTTCAAATACACATAAAAAGCAAAAATTGTTTAAAAGAAAAATACACATACACTGTTAGTGAGCAGCGAGTTGGCAAAAACGACATATCCAATAACAATCCAACCCCACGGCAATTATTCTGACTTTTTCCAAATATGTTCGCAATATAAATCAACATACATGGGTGCGCTCAACAATTTTGCGCTCGCGCTCGCGCTCGCGATCACTGGCAACGGTGCGCTCGCGCTCTGCGCTCGCGATCAAGATTTTGAAAATGTTGCGCTCGCGCTCTGCGCTCGCGCTCAAATTTTTTAAAAGTCTTGCGCTCACGCGTTGCGCTCAAAAATATTTTTATCCGAAGAAAAAGTGCGACTTTTTAGACAATTTTTTAATATAACAAAAAATACATCGGCAATTGGAAAAGATAAAGTTGAAGTTAAATCACCAAAATTGGGATCAGTTTTGAAGTTTTTGGTATAAAAACGATAAAAACACTGTTTTTCATTACAATTTTTGATCAAATTCGGGAATTTTTACTTTTGGTTTGAGCGCAAAATGAGCGCAATTGAGCGCTGCGCTCAGCGTCCAATGCGCTCGCGCTCTGCGCTCGCGCTCACGATTTTGAAAATCGTGCGATCGCGCTCTGCGCTCGCGCTCATGAGCGCAGAGCGCGAGCGCAGATCGCAGAGCGCAAAGTGCGCTCTGCCCATGTATGTAAATCAATACTGAGGTCATTCAAATTTTCCGCAAAAAGCTTTGGTGGTGAAGTTCCTTTGAATTGAGATCTTTTGGTTGTTTGTTTGTTTTTCACAGAATTACAAGCAAAGAAAAAAATTTTTAACTCGTAATTTATTTTGATTTTTTAATGCATTTTAAAAACAAGAATAATTAAAAAGCACGAATTAAATTTATTATTTAAATTTGATCGCAGTGGTCTAAACCTGCCCAGGTGGTATGAAAGGTACGCAGTCAGTTTGAACAGTGTTGACATATCTGTTGGGGAGTCCATTCTGATCAATCACATCCTGAACAGCGTTCAAAACTTCCGGGGATGGATACTGCTCCCGAGTGATCACCCACGAGTTTTCTATAATTAAAATTGTAAAATATTTTGGGGTTCCAAAATTATTTTTAAATTGTTTATTTACGTCGAGCTTCCACGCCGTCACTGGAACAGGAAAATACAACAGCAAAACTGGCATAGTCAACTCCCAAGACCCAGTAATCATAACGGGCTGCAATAGTAATTATTTAATTCAGAAAAAATTATTAATAATAACAATAAGCTAACTTTCACTCAACAATGGGTAGGAAATGAGAAGCTTTCCATCAGTGACACTGCTGCTGTACTCAAGGCGTCCAGTCACAAATTGTTGTTGGTTATTACTGCAAAATAATAAAAGGCTATTAATTTAAACGTAATACTATCATACATTTTATAACAAAAACCCAATTTTTAAAAATTTCACTATTTTTTTACTCAGTTTTTAATTATGTCCCCATGAGTATTAAAAGAATTACGTATTGTTTATAGTGGCCTCAAAAACTGCAACGTTCCCGAACGAGTTGTCGTAATAATCAACGTAGTCACATCTTCCAAGTTCATTTGGACCAGGATAACTTGAGTACTGATACCACCGGTCAAGATACTGTATATCAATTATATAATTTAGCCCGCAATATTTAAATATTAAACTACAGCACACTTACAAGTTCTAGACTGAAATTTCCCACAACAGTCACCTGTGGACAGTTCCCCGGAGTTACAATCTGGCTGTTGACCGCAGCCACAAAAAGCGCGACCAAGATATATGGGATCATTGATGCCGATGCCATACTAAAAAATCCAAACACTTAAGCGAACAAATTCACAAACAATTTTCCTCTTAATTTAGGTAATTAATAACAAAAATCTAAAAATATTATGTAACATACTTGATATTGCTCTCGGCTGCTGAACGAAGCTTACAAGGAAACCCTTTCAACACGCAAAAAAAAGTTAACGATTTTTTTACACCAATCGACTCTCCGCGCTGCCCTGATGATCCAAAAAAATTATTTTCGGCCGATCTTAAACGGCCGCTTCGGTAGAGCGGCCGAAAGTTGGCGTTTTTCAACTTATGCAGGCCCGCTTCACTTGCTGTGGAGCTCGACGCTTTGCAATCTTTTCTCGCAGCGAGCACGCACCGACCAGTTCGGCAAGCACACCGCCGGCGGCTCGCTCGCCACTCCACTGCGGTGCATACTTGCTGCGCTCTGCACTAATCGGCTATTAAAAAATATTTCCAACATTCTAATATAGTTTTATTTCATGTGTTAATAAAATGAAAAAATCTCAACTTGAAAATTTTAAACAAATTCGAAAATAATAATAATCTTCTTATGCAATGTTTAATATTTTGTTTCCAAATAAAAAATTACATATGCTATGGATTGCTTTGTTATTGAATAATTATATAATAAATATATATTTTTGCTGTTGCTAATCTCACTAGGTTAGCGGGTCGAATGAAAAAAAATTATCAAAATAAAAATGTGTAGACTGTGCGCTGGGTTCATTCCAGGTGAGGAATGGAAGATATTTGGAGTAATTTCATTCATCGTTTATTACAATTTAAAGTATGCAAAAAATTTCTTTCAATTGAGGGAGCAAAAATTGCATTGTTATTCGACTGCAGGCATCAGTGTGCATATGAAACCTGCACCATGAACTTCGTTTGTGTAAACTCTGTACTTGCAGAGCTTTTATTGATTTGCAAATTTGATTCATCGGATAAAGGTGTGCCTAACGATCGCGAAATCAGTCTAGCCGTTCTGCTATCAGGTAGAGAAATTATTTTTCAAATTAATATTTTAAATCGTCAAAATAAATATTAATTTTGAAATATTTCAGAACTACTTTTGCAAGCATCCATCCTGGAAACGGATAAATTCTTCCAATACCTTTGTATTTTGAATGGCGTGAAAGGTAAAATGTGAATCAAAATTTAAAATATAACTTTAATAAATCCCAGCATAGAGTAAGCCCTTCTTTATATTTATATTTTTTTTTTTTAGATTTTTCGTCTCACAATCAACATCAAGAGCTCCATGAGAATTACGAGCCGCCTGGAAATGAATGTGCGACAGTTGCGGGTTGGATTATTTTTATGAATTTTCTTTTAATGCTAACTTTTAATAATGCTGAAGGAGCTATTATTTTAAAATTTTTAATTAATATTTTGAATTATGCAAGATTTATCAATATTAAAATTTTTTTATTTTCTAGTTACTCACAACCAGAAAACTTTCCACTTCGAGCGCAATGAACGCAATTTCAGGAGACAGCTGTTCCCTTCTTCTTTTGATGAAAATTATTTTGAATGCAGTAAGTAATTTATTTCTTATAAAAATATTTATTATAAAAACAATGTGAATTTATAATAAGAAAATATTGTAATAACTCAGAATTTAAATTTAAATAAAAAAAATTAAAATTAACTCATTTTAAATTTGGTCTCTCATATGCAGGGCTCTCACCAGAACCAACAAACAAAGAAGCTGAAGTGACGTTGCAAGAGGGTGAAGAGACCAGCATGGAAGATGAGAAATTCCAAAATAATGTTGATACGTCTGCTGCCAACTCTGAAGGCAGTGAGTTTATTTAATAATTTTATATAAAAGATTTTTTTTAGTTGTAATTTTGAATTGCATTTCAAAACTAAAAATAATTGGCAATAATTTTTCTTATAATATTAATATTCGTAAAATATTTTAAATTCATTTCAAATATAAGTTTTACAATAACTTCTGTTTTAAAAATTTTAGTCCAGAAAATAACTAATTTAAAATTTGACCTCTCATATGCAGCGATCTTACAAGAATTGGCAAATAAAGAAAATGAAATGACCTTGAAAGAAAATGAAGAGACCAACATAGAAGAATTGCAATTGGAAAATGCAAGGACATCTGCAGAAGATTCCAATTGTAGTAAGTTGATTGAATAATTTCAATTTTACAGGATTTATCAAGGATTAATCAAAAAAATTGGTAGAATTGTTGTTACATAATACTTGAACATTAGTGGCTATTCATTTTTTCCAATTTGTTTGCGCTCTCCATCTAATTAAAGACGCAATAATTTTCCATGAAAACGATTGTTTTGAATGAAAAATGAAGCGTGTGAGAAGAAAGATTTTTAGAAGTTTTAATTTAATAAAATTGCTTTCAAATTTTATTCAATTAATAAAAAATTAAATAGTAGAGTAATTAAATTTCGATTATTTTGTTATTATTTCTTTTCTCATTGTCATAGGCAACAAAGTAGTGACATCAACAGGCTTGGCTGAAATTGAGAATATAAGGAAGAAAAGGACGGTTTTTACAAGAGCAGTCGCACATGAAGTTGACATTCATGACCAAAGTAAATTCACTTATTAAAATTTTATGGAAACAACTTTAATTAATTAAAAAGAATAAAGAATAAATTAGACATTTATTTTTATTGTAACTTTATAAATTTAAAAAAAAAACATAAAAATATTTATATTTATTATTGCTATACTTTTTGTTAATTTTAATTTGTTATCCTAATATATAAATAAAAATTGCAGATGCCTCAAACTGTCTTGACGAAGAGTCAATTGAGTCTGATGCTTTGACAGACGTTGAGAGCGATTGCGATGAATGTGAGCTTGATTTTTTGATTGGTGTCGAGGAGAGCGACTTGCCAAAACAGCAACCTCAACGGCACGTCCTAAGCTATTCCTTAAAAAAGGAAATTGTTGCTCATTGGCAGTATGAGGATAAGTGTGCTGAAGAGAAATATGGACCAAGGCGTGGAACAACTCGAAAATTGTCATCCATGCAAAAAAAGTATCCCAATGCAAAACTATGTATTAGAAAATTGTACCAATGGCGCACTGATATCAATGAGGGAGTAATGTTGAAATCTCATATAAAAGACATTGAATCAGACGTCTACGCCAAATTTCTCGAGTTTCGAGGAGATTTGAAAATCATCAAAGGCAGACATTTAAGGCAGTGGGCAATTGAATCTGCCACTTTGAAACATGGCTTATCCACGAAAGACTTTTGTGCCTCACCAACTTGGTTAGAGAACTTTAAACGCCGTTTTAAAGTTGGAGGAAGAAAAATCAACAAATATGTGACGAGAAAATCAGTCAGGGAAAAAGATGATATTCTGAAAAGCGCAACAGATTTTGTTGAAAATGAAAAAGGCGAGGTCATTCGGGTAGGAAGGGCTTGTTTCGGCAATCTAGACCATGTCGGGATCAATAGGGAGATGCACTCTGCGCGCACTTTAGCAATAATAGGCGAACGAACGATTGAAAAGTGTATTCAAAGCTCAAATAGTATGACTCACTCTTGGACGCTTGTTCCTGCTTGTGATGCAAGTGGTCGGCTATGGGAACCAGCTTATTTAATTTTGAAAGAAGACGGTGGTAAATTCGGAGTAAGAGTGCAAGAAACTGTCCTTCGGCCCGAAAATTTGTTTGTAACTTGCTCATCAAGTGGTAAAATGTTGGGGTCACAAGTGGAGGAACTTTTTACAAATTGCATTTTCCCAAATGTGAAGGGGAAAACTGCGCGATTTTTGATTGACCACTGGTGTGGCTGGAAAAAGAAGGTAAACGAACTATGCAAAATAGCAAAAGAAAAGTTTGGGCTAAATGTGACAATAGGACTCATTCCAGAAGGCACTACTGGAAAAATCCAACCTTTGGATGTTAATGTTAATGGTCCGTTTAAAAAGCTTCTACGTACTATTGAGGATGAAATACTTATGCATAGTATTCCCTTTCCCATCCAAACCCGAAATAACGGCATAAAGTTGATTTCGTTCACGTATCACCAGCTTTGCTCACCCCGATTCGAGTCGATGATAACCTATGCATTTTTTAAGCCTGGCTACATAAGTGAAAGAGGCCCAAAATACTTGACCCCAGTTCAGTACTGCTTCGCACTTTCAACCAAAACCACGTGCGAAATTCCTTTGTGCCAAAGTAAAAAGTTCATTGTGTGCGCTTGGTGCACTTCAAACTTGTGTTTTCAGCATTCCATAGAATGCCTTCACATGTGTGACAATTATTTGCCGTGATTAATTTTGTGCATTGTATTTTTTGTGCATTGTATAAATTGACTGGCGCAAATAATATATTTAAAAAAAACTTACTTCGCTCTTTTAATTTTACCAATTTTTATTGTTTCCAACTGTCAGGACATAATATCAAACGTTTAAAAAAGATAAGATAACAATTTAAAAAATAAAAAAATATCCTATAATTTGATTGGGAAACTTGATTGGGAAAATTGAATTTTTTTTTTTTTTTTGAAATTTAATAAAAAAAATGATATAATTTAATTTAGGGATAATAATTATTGGAGACAATAAAATTATTAGAAAAGAGAATTTAAATTAAAAAAAAAAATTCTAAATTTTCTAATCATTGTAAAAAAAAATAGTGCACATTTTTCCACTCATAAATTATTTGGGGTATTCATTGTCAAAATTATTATCATTATTGATTGAAATTGAAATATTTAACCAAATATTTTTTAATAGTTTTCAGACATCCAAATTATTTTTAATATCGTTTATTTTTCACAATAAAGAAATTAAAATATTGCATGATTTGCATTGCTAAATTAGAGAAAAAAAAATGGGAATATCAATGCTTTAAATTTCTTTTATAAGATTTTTTAATACATAGCCGATTAGTGCAGAGCGCAGCAAGTATGCACCGCAGTGGAGTGGCGAGCGAGCCGCCGGCGGTGTGCTTGCCGAACTGGTCGGTGCGTGCTCGCTGCGAGAAAAGATTG